CTTCTTATACTAGCTTTCTCTACTTCTACCCACCCTTCTACCCACTGCAAACTGGCCTCTGTCCCCACCATTCCACCGGTATTATTCTGGCCAGCCTCACTAATGCACTCCCTCTTGCCAAATCAAATGGCTTTCAGACATCATTCTACATGACTTTGCAAAACTCCTTGATAATAACTTCAGCAGTGGAAATAGCCATCACTGACAATACATGTTGTGTGCATTTACTGCTGAGCACGTGATGCTGCACACTCTCCTAGGCATATGATGTGCGTGGTCTCACAACCATCTTTTAGGCCGGTGCTTTAATTTTCTATTTGGAGTCAGGTAGACCTGAATGCAAACCTTGGCACTGCCGTCTTCCAGCTGTGTGATGCTACTCAGGCCTTGTAAGCTGGGTTTTTGCCTCTTGTCCTCAGCTCTCTACCCCCGGCCTCCTGCTTCTCTAACTCATCTGCCTTGGTCTCTTCCACTGTCTCCTCCTCCTCTCCCAGCACTTAAAACGGCCTCCAAATCTATCTCAACTCTGGCCTGTCTCCAAAACTCCAGACGTGCAGCTGTGTATCAGCCTCTCTCACCTGTGCGCCCGGTGGATATCTAAGAATCAGGAGGGCTGAAAGTGAACTACCTTTCCCTGAAAATCTGCGCTTCCTCTCACTGTACCTCACCTGTGTTTGTTCCTTCATTTATTCATCGAAATACGTATGTGTGTCTACAAGGTGCCCTCCATGATTCTAGGCTCAGGGAGCACCTACAACACCACAAACCAAGTCCCACCCTTATTTCAGTGGGGAAGACAGACTAAACCAACGCGTACATCATGTTAGGTAGTGAATCGTGCTGCGAATTAAACAAAAATTGGGCAGAGGGATAGAGGATGACACGTGGTTGGGTAGGCTGGCCAGGGAGCACCTGTCTCCCTGAGGAGCAGAGGAGGGATGGAAGGGTAGCAGTGCTTCTGCTCCCACAGTTGTTCAAGACTGAAGTTTCATGGGCATCTTCAACTTTGCCCCACATGTCCTACTTTCCCACAACCCATGTCTCTTTTACCTGTCCTCTCCCCACTGTTCCTACCTGGCTCGAGGACTCAACACCTCTCAATGGGAGCACTGCACCAGATTTTGTTTTTTTACATGGAGTCTCAGCTCACCGTCAGAATAATCTTTCTAGGACACACATCTGTAAATGTCCTTCACTTGCTGAAAACCCTCCTTGGTGTCCAGTTCCCACAGGCATAAGTCCCTGACCCCAGCAGAGTTCAAGTACCTCGTTTTCTGGTATGTTTTCCCACCTTCTCTCCTGCCATGTTCCCCAGGGAACACTCTGTGTTCTTTTCCACATCCCTGCCTGAGCCCAGACTGTTTCTTTCCCTCAGAACACAGTCTTGGAGAGCCAGTCCCCAATCCTAGACATCCTTCTGAGCCAGACTGGATTGGTGAAGATTCCCTGTCTAGTCAGAAGAGGTCACTTTTCCCCATCTTCCAGTTGTTCTCTGGGGGTTCCTCTGTTGTTTTGTATAAGGGTCTGCATTTCACTCATTCAATGCACATGTGCTGAGTGGCCGCTGTGCACTGGGCTACACTGTCAGTGCTGTGGACACAGCTACAGATAAGACCAGACCAGGCCTTGGCTCTTACAGCGGTGACGCTCTAGCACAATGTCGCCTCCATTAGGCTGGGTCCATGCATTCAATGCAGTTAACAAATCCCCGTTTTGTGTCCAACATGTGGTATCCCCCTGGGAGATGCCAAGGAGACAGGCCACTCATCACCTGAGAGCACCTGTCCCATGCGCAGAATCTTCTCCATGATTTTTGATTGAAGAAATTACGGGAATATTTTTATTCCCATTTTGTGGTAAGAAAATAAAGACAGAAAACAATTAATTCACTTAATTCATATGCTGTGAACAAGGAGCTTGCTTGCCAGAATTCCAGATGAATTCAGTGGAACACAACTATCTTTGCTCTGAATCACAAGTGGCTTCTTTTCACTCCCTTAGCAACACTTCCTATTGCCAATTTAATATGAAGTATAGATAAAAGAATATGCCAGCAAATTCTGCCGTTAGGCAGCGGGGTCTCCACAGCTCAGCACCTGGGACTGGTCATGGTCTGTGGTCCTCATTTGAATAAGGATAGTCTAAGGACTAAGTCTATTGTGATCTAGGTACTCCCAGTACCTAGAATAGTGCTTGGCATCTTGTGGGCACTCATAAATACTTTAATGAATAAATGAAAGAGCAAGCAGACAGGAAGAAGCACAATGAGAGGAAGATCATCTTTTCAAGGAGAGGCAGGTAATTCACTCAGAGGGCATCTAGGTGAGAAAGGTCAATGAACAGCAAAATGTCTGGGGTTATCAGATGGTACCTCCCAAAGAAACGTTGAACAATTCTTTGAGGAAGTCATTTTGTTTGAATAACATTACTAGACATATGACGTTCTGTGATAAAAATTTTTGCATTCTGCACAAAAGACATAGCTTTTTACACTGAAGGAAAAAATGTGATTTGCAAAGGAAAGAATAAAATGAAGGAAAACAAAACACAAGAATCTAGAGCATTAAAAACAAAAGTTTAAGCCACACTAAACCAGTATTACTTGGCAAAGACTGAACCCAAAATGATGAACCTCAAAGGTCAGATCTTTGCGAATGATTTTCAGACTATAATGTAGTGAACATCTGAAAATTATCTAGGATTTAGTAAGATTTTGGATGAACCATTCCATATCTCTTAGTTCATTTTGTGCTGCTGTAACAGAATACAACCAACTGGGTAATTTATAATAGACACTTACTGGCTCACAGTTTTAGAAGATGGAAGGTCTACGATTGAGGGGCCAGCACCTGGTGAGGGCCATCTTGCTGCGCTATAACCTGGCAGAAGGCATCACATGGGAGAGAGAGAGCGTGCAACAGACGTCCAGACTCATTCCTTTAATAAGGAATCTACTCCTGTGATAATAACATTAATCCATTCTATGAGGATTAATCCAATAATCCATTTATGACCAGAGCCCTCATGGTCTAGCCAGCTTTTGGTGTTATGGCACATATATATTTATATGCCATATATATATATATATATATATATATGTATTATGTTATGGCATATGTGTATATATATATATATATATATAT